ATATATATATATATATATAAAAGAGAATTTGGAATCGTTGATTAGATATTACATGAATTTGGGAATTAGGTAAAATTAAAGAAAAAGTGTGAATATCTCTATGGAGCTCTACTTTTCTTCCATATATGTTACAAACATATAAAAGCGGTAACAAGATGAAAGTGATAATATGAAATCATTTCCGTTAGAATTGTGGCTCGGATCCCTTATTGTCTTAAAGTACTCTCGAGCAAGGTGTTCACATTTTTTTTTTTCAATTCAATCTACTTTACCATCTTGAAGAGGCAATTGCTCTTCCAATCGATCCACTTTTTTATCTTTAATTTGCAATTTCACTTGCGATAAATTTATTTGGGCCTCCACTTCTTGTGTAGCTGAAGAAAGTCTCGACTTCACAACCCTTGTGTTTGTGCTTTTAATCCGAAGTCATTTTACTCTTTCGCAACACTAATTTAATCGCAATTGTTGTGTTTTCGTCACTTCCATCAATCATGAACTCTTTAGAAATTGTCTCCAAATCAGCCTGAAAATGATCAATTACACAAGCATGTATTGGCTAACCACACAAGCAGTTAGTAAACATAAAGATAACATATGTACAATATACATGTATTTGCATTGTAAGTTATTATATATAACTTCAATGATCAACTTCTTATATTTTTATTTTTAATTTTGTAATGAAGGAACTCGCAGTGAACCGTATAGGTGCACTGAGTAATCATATACATTCTCATGAAATAGCTCGCAAATAGAAGGAGAGATGTAAATCATACTAGGTAACCATGTATAAGGAACTCAACCAAAAAAACGCTGACGAGGATATTCAGACATGGAGTCAGTGGAATTGTGAGGCAAAAGCAATCAATTTTTATTTTTCGCCAATGGAGTATATATAAGGATATATAACTCTATATATTCCGGGAATAGAGGAAAGATCATTAGCACGGGTGAGTAATTTAAAGATAACGTGGCATTAAATATATTTTTGAAAAATAATATTATTGGAGAGAGGGCTTAATTGAAAGTATTAGGGACTGAATTGTAAATTTTGGAAACTTCATTTGGGGTGAATGTATAATTTTTGAAATTTATGTACGACGATGACGTACTTTCCGGCAAAGGTAAACCCATTCCTATGTCTTTACTAAAAAATATCCTCCATAATATATTTTTTGTCAATTCCACCCATTATGCTCTAACTTCCTTAATATTACACATTGACTCCGGATTTAAACAAATATTACACATTGACTCCGGATTTCAGAAAATAATTTGTTTTCTGATTTTTTTTTCGACCGGATTCCGGCGTTGACTTTTTTTATCTTTAGAAATTTTTTTCCTGGCCGGTCTCCGGCGTTGACTTTTTTTATCGATTTTTTTTCTTAGAAAAAATTATTTTAATTAATATTACTGTCTTGGCTGCTAAATTACTGTCTCAAACAGTAATATTACTGTTTGGGACAATAATATTATGAATATTATTTTCCGAACAGTAGTATTACTAATGTTACTGTCCCAACCAGTAATATTATTGCATAAGACAGTAATATTACGATCAAAGACAGTAATATTACAGTCAAAGAAAGCAAAAATGCAAGCCAAGATGATAAAATTAATTAATACAGTAATATTACTGTCGCAGACAGTTAAATTACTGTTGGAGACAATAATTTAGCAGCTAAGACAGTAATATTAATTAAAAAAAAATTAGAAAAAAAAAGTCAATTATCATTTAAATTACTATCACCGACAGTTAAATAACTGATGGAGACAGTAATTTAGCAGCCAAGACAGTAATATTAATTAAAATATTTTTTATGAAAAAAAAGCCAATTAACAGTTAAATTACTATCTCCACAGTTAAATAACTTGCTGGAGACAGTAATTTAGCAGCCAAGGCAGTAATATTAATTACAATATTTTTTTAAGAAAAAAAAAAAAGTCAATTAACAGGTAATTACTGTCTCCGTCAGTTAAATAACTGCTGGAGACAGTAATATAGCAGCCAAGACAGTAATATAAATTAAAATATATTTTTAATAAAAAACAAAATAAAATAAAAAGTCAACGCCGGAGACCTGGCGGTCAACGGCTGTTGACCTACCGAAAAAAAATTCAGAAAAAACAAGTTTAAAAAAAAAAAAAAAAGTCAACGCCGGAGACCGGCGGTCAACGACGACTGACCGGCGATCTGCGGTGGTGGTGGGTCAAAATTGGGGTCAAAATTAAAATTATGGTCAAAATTGGTTAATTGGTGAAATTGGGGTGTAAATTGCGAAATTGGAGTTGAATTGAGTTTCAATAAATTGGAGGTAATTTTGGTATAAATAAAACGGTTTTCCTTATTTCCAAATAAGTTTGAATGAGCAGGAAATATTTGCAAGACAAAAAAATTGGATGTCCCTTTTTGAATTAAATGTCCTTGTCATGGGTCTATTTGCCATTTTTCCTAAATATAATTCTGAAAAATAATATTATTGGAGAGGGGGCTTAATTGAAAGTATCAGGAACTGAGTTGTAAATTTGGAAACTTTATTTGAGGTGAATCTATAATTTTTGAAATTTATGTAAAGAATATTTAGGTCTATTCATGCAAAAAGATTATACCTCCACTCGCATAAGGAAACAAGTATCTCTCTAGAAAACTTTTGGGAAGAGTTCAACAAGAACAACAAGTCCTATCTATATATATATATATATATATTATATATATAGAGAGAGAGAGGGGCATAGAATTATTTGTGTGATCCCTACTCTCTCTCTCTCGGTTTCTCTCTCTATCAACTGATAAAAAAGAGAATCGATGGGAAATAATAAACAGATAAAACTAGGTAATGAATCGACGGTGTACTTTTCGGAAGAAATTGTTGAAGAAATACTATCACGACTCCCCGTGCATTCTCTGTTCCGATTCAAGGCCGTATCCAAATCATGGAACACTTTAATCTCTTCCCCGAGTTTCGCCGAATCACACCTCAACAACTACGGCAATAGCAACAACTTCGTTCTACTCGCCTTCGACCAAACCACCCGAAAGTGGAAACTATCGTTCACCACGTTCGGCACATCGTCGTCGTCGGAATTGACAACCGTAGTCGTTGGTGGCGGCGGTGGCGGCCGTGCGGACGAAAAATTTATCGAATTACCAACGATGTTGGAGAAGACGACGAGGATCAAAGACAAAATCATCGGCCCGTTTAACGGTCTCATCTGCTTCTACGGGATTGCCGGGATGGCCGGGATGGGGGGAATCGCCCTCTGCGACCCTAATCTCCGTACAACCGAGACTCTCCCGATCTGCCCCATTACCGAGAAAGAACTCCGTTTCAGCACATACGTCACACGAAGCATGGGGTTCGGTCTAGATTCCGTCACCAAAGAAATAAAACTAGTACAAACTTTGTCTTATTTGTTTTGGTACAAGGATACGCATATCGAGAAAGGAATCCGTGTGGATATCTACTCCCCAACCAACAAGACATGGAGACATGTACTCGACCACGACGATGCTGCTACATCGGACACTTTTATCTGGGACGCAATTGGGTCGTACGAGGATGGTTCGTTTTCTCATTGGATCGATAACAATCAAAGTGTCGTACTATCTTTCGACATGCAGAAAGAGGTCTTTGTGAGGACCCCGATCCCAATCGAGTACGATCACTTTAAACATGAGGTGAAGATTTTTGCAAAGGGCAGTACCTCGCTTGTCCTATTCGCGTACCCACGACAACGGGTTACGGGAGAAAATTATTTGTTCGATAGATGGGAGTTGAATGGTTTAAAGCACTGGTCTCGGTTGACGCGTGTCGGACCCTTTTTAGGTGTGACGAAGCCGGTCGGGGCTTTGTGGAGAAGCCGTGTAATTGTTGTGAGGGGGGAAACTAAGCTCGTTTTCTACGATTATTCGACTCAACATGTAATGAGAATTTACGACATGGAGGGAAACGATTACCACCTCAACTGTCGCGATCTCGTCAAAGTTCTTGAGTATAAGGGGAGTCTACTTTAAACATCTAAACTAATACAGTTTGGATTAGCAACATTATATTAATTTAGCGGTACTATTGATTTTAGGGTTAATCTCTAAAAGGCCATGACAAGGGCACTTAATTAAAAAAGGGACATCCGATTTTTTTGTCTTTCAAATATTTCTAGCTCATTCAAACTTATTTGCAAATAAGGAAAAAACTTTTATATATACCAAAATTACCCCCAATACCTTGAAACTCAATTAACTCCAATTTCATGATTTATACCCCAATTTAGCCCAATTTAACCAACAAACCAATTTTGACATAATTTCAATTTTACCCGCCACCACCGGAGACCGCCGGTCAGCCGGGCACCGGCCTCCGGCGTTGACCTTTTCTTTTTTCTTTTTTGAAAACGTTGTTTTAATGGATTTTTTTTCCGGTAGGTCAATCGCCGTGACTGCCGGGTCGCTGGCTTTGATTTTTTTTTTTTTTCTTAAAAGTAATATTTTAATTAATATTACTGTCTTGGCTGCTAAATTAGTGTCTCCAGCAGTTATTTAACTGTCGGAAACAGTAATTTAACTGTTTGTTAACTTTTTTTTTTCTTAAAAAAATATTTTAATTAATATTACTGTCTTGGCTGCTAAATTATTGTCTCCAGCAGTTATTTAGCTGTCGGAGATAGTAATTTAACTGTTAATTGACTTACTTTTTTCTTAAAAAATATTTTAATTAATATTCCTATATTGCCTGCTATATTACTGTCTCCAATAGTCATTTAACTGTTTGAGACAGTAATTTAAATGTTAATTGACTTTCTTTTTAATTTTTTTTCTTAAAAAAAATATTTTTAATTAATATTACTGTCTTGGCTGCTAAATTACTGTCTCCAACAGTAATTTAATTGTCCGAGACAGTAATATTACTGTATTAATTAATTTTATCGTCTTGGCCTGCATTTTTACTGTCTTCCACCGTAATATTACTGCCTTATGCAATAATATTACTGTTTGGGACAATAATATTAGTAATATTACTGTTCGGGAAATTAATATTCATAATATTACTGTCCCAAACAGTAATATTACTGTCCCAAACAGTAATATTACTGTCAGAGACTGTAATTTAGCAGCCAAGAGAGTAATATTAATATAAATATTTTTTTCTCAGAAAAAAAAAATTTCAAAAAAAATGAAAAAGAGTCACCTTCGGAGACCCGCGGTCAACGGCGGTTGACCGGCCGGAAAAAAATCAGAGAAAAAAAATTCAAAAATAAAAAAAAAGTCAACGCCGGAATTTGGCCGAAAAAAAAAGTTCAGAAAAAAAAAAAATTTCTGAAAAAAAAAAAAATTTCAAATAATTATTAAAATGGGGGTTAATGTGATATATTTGTTTAAATCCGGGGTCATGTGTAATATTAAGGAACTTAGAGTATAATGGATGAAACTGATAAAAAATATATTATGAGGATGAGTTTGTTTGAAAGACTGTTTTTTTTCTTTTTGACCAATGTGCATTTAAATCCCTTGTTATGTCTTTTTTTGCCATTTATCCTTGATTTTAACCGAGTTGGGACCGAAGAAATTATTAATTTATCGAATATTAATTTATCAAGTTTTTACCGTAGTTTCTCCGATGAACAAGTTTAATTTTGCTTGTCTCAAAGTCTTGAGGGAGAGAATAATCACAAACATAAACAGGTAAAAAAATTTGATAGGGAGTAGTTGGAATTATTCATTAGATATATTATTGAATTGTTTTATATTAGAACATTAATTTATGGATAACTAAAAAAAAAAAGAGTAACATAAATCGATTTATGGAAAATGAGTTACTTGGCAAAGAAACAAAAAGAGATTGCTAAAGATTTTAGATGATTTATTTTATAAATATTTTTCTCAAAATACTTTATAAGTTTATTTAAATTCGATTTGGTATTCGGTTTATTTAAATTAGATAATTTAAATTACTTTATAAGTTTATTTAAATTAAGATTTTTATTTTTTAATTTAGAATACGGCCCTTCGCACTTAATTACAAAAATGACATTTAACTTCTTTTGCATTCTAAATAATTTCAACACATTCAAACTTATTTGTAAATCACGTAAACCCTTTTATACATACTAAAATTACATCCAATTCAACTTCAATTTCATGATTTGCACCATAATTTAGCCCAAGTTCACTAATTAACCAATTTTAACCATTATTCCAATTTTGACCGCTGGTTAGCCGTCGTTGACCGCGGACTCCGGCGTTAACTTTTTTTTTTTTTTTTTGAAAACCTTATTTATTTTTTTACGGCAGGTCAACCGCCATTGACCACTGGTCTCCGGCGTTGGCTTTTTTTTTTATTTTTGAAATTTATTTTTTTCTTAAAAAAAATAGTTTTAATTAATATTATTGTCTTTGCTGCTAAATTACTACCGGAGACAGTAATTTAAATATCTGAGACGGTAATATTACTGTCTACGGCATTGATTTTTTTTTTTGATTTTTTTTTCTTTAAAATATTATTTTAATTAATATTACTGTCTTGACTGCTAAATTACTATCTCCAACAATTATTTAAATGTCGGAAACAGTGATTTTAGCTGTCTGAGACAATAATTTTACTTTATTAATTAATTTTATCGTCCTGGCCTGCAATTTTGCTGTCTTCGACCGGAATATTATTGCTGCAATTAGTTTTTCACCGGTGCGATGCACGGGATTCTTTAAGATTAAATTGTTGTAAAGTGTTATAAATAAACCATCATAACTTGCTATGACATCTAAATAATTCATTTTTATTTTCAAGTTTGCTACTTTGAATTGGCAAATTTTGCACTCTAACTGAGTCGTGAAGTGAACAGTATGTTTTGGAATAATACAATAGTTAAGTCCTAAAATCAAGATGCCTTAAACTTTAAGAACAATTATCAAGAATTCCCACTAAAATAAGGTGAAATTGATAACACAACCACAATAATATTGACGTAATGGCGTACAATATGAGAACTTTTATTTCAAAAAATTGCCGTAGGGCTAAAATCAATTCGGAAAATTAACGTAATGGCACGACCACATCAATCCAAACAACACCACCGCCTTCATTGAACCCCCCGAAAACGTATCTTTTTTTCTTCAATATCCCACATTCAAAAATTTCCCAATTTGATTTCTGAAGCGAAGCAATTGAAAGTAAAATTGGAAGCGAAAAAACAAATCAAACGGTTGCAGAAGGAAGAATTGAACTGTCTTTTGCGAGAGAAGAAGAGTTACGCAAGAAATAAGCAGTTCCGTAAAAGTTTTGAAAAGAAGCGACGATTCGCCTCACATCCGAAAATACGTATAAGCTTTTGGACTATCAAAATATTACAAAAATTGCCCTAGGGTTGGAAACCCCATGGATTGTCTTTTTATATATATACTGGTTGAGATTTTGTGGGTATGTGCTTAAATGAAAATTAGTTATTTTTTTTATAAATTTTATTTTAGTTTCTTTATTTTCAAGGAATTTAATTAAAGTCTTCCGGTTGATATTTAATGATGAGTATAAAGTACAATTATTTTAAAATTATATAATAATTAAAGATAAAAAATAAAAATTCAAAAACACGGTTGAACCGAGGTTGAATCGGTCCAACCGTGACCTAGTTATTTGTCCGGTTTGATCTCTGATCTGGTTTTCAAAACATTGGTCTGGACCAATGTACATTTAACTCCCTTGTCATGTCCCTCTTTGCCATTTGCCATAAATTATAAAACAATTAGAGATAAATTGCATAGATTAATAACCAGATCATAACTCCTATGAGACCATTTAAATTATAATTAAGCATGTACATAAGAGAAAAATTAATATAATCTAAATTTAAAATCATTTTTAGCATAGATTAATTATTCATTTAAAACACATAATTCATTTAATCACATAAATAAAATTACTTAATCATTCAATCAAATCGAGTCGATCACATTTAACCAAATATTATAGATCACATAAATAGTTAGGATGCAATAAACAGTTAGTAGTTAATTCATGAAATGGAAATTATCGATTTACTCAATATAAGTTCATATGATATGCTTATGAAATTGCGGTGTGTTACACGGTTCATGTTCGATTTTAGCCATAAACCGAACCGAACCGAACCGAACCGAACCAAGCCATGCACACCCTTATTAATAACCATGCTCTAGAGTAACTAAATTTGCAAGATCTAAATCTGAACAAAATCTACTATCCTCGTGTTTCAATTTTTTGTTGTTTCCCTCTTCTCTCTCAGCTCAAAGAATAGACCGAAGCTCAGCTGTAATCTTCAAAACGAAAGATAAATATTTGTATAATCCGCAAAAGATAAATATTTTTAGAGGCACTCTACCTGCTTTATTATGAGATGTACAAAAGATGATTGAATAAAATACTGATTCTCAATAAATATGAAGCGTTGATCGTATCTTATTGCCTGGATGTACGCCATTTTAATGCTCCTATCTGTTGCCTATTTTTTTCAAACAAAAGGTTCTACGATAAATAAAATATTTATAAATTTATTTGTAAAAGACTACAGAGAAGTTAAACAAGTGTAGAAATTGATAAATTTGAAGACTCATATTTACCTGTTCCTTTGCTGCAAGGACATTTTTTGGGAACCCTTCCATCGATTTTGAATCCGCAGATCGAAAAATCTGTTCAAATCAATGTAAGACACAAGATCATATTTAAATCACCTAGTTTTGAATAGAGAATTTTTATACGGTAGTAAACCGTGCATTACCTGAATATGCCAGTTTTTAGGATCATCTTCCTTAGAGATCCACGATAATTGGTGGTCATTCGAAATAGTACCGGAATAACTAGCTATTTGTGAAATGTGTTCGACATCAACTAAATTATAATCATGCCAACTTAGTATTTATTTGCAAAGTCTTGTAAGCTCAGTCAGTGACTTTCTTCCACCATTGCCCAAAATTCCTGAGCACATCGTAAGCAGCCGAACCTTCAATTCGGCAATGTAAGTCGTGGCACGGTTGTCTTTGTCTTGTGT